ACACCCACACACCCACACCCACACTCACACACACGCTCACACACACACACACACTCTCACATACACACACACACACACACACACATACACTCACACATACACACACACACACACTCACATACACACAGTCACATACACACACACATCGCACTCACATACACACTCACTCACGCTGTCACACACGCTCTCATACACACACACACTCACGCTCACACACAGACACCCACACACCCACACCCACACTCACACACACACTCACACACATATACACACACACACAAACACACACACTCACATACACACACACACTCATACACACTCTCACACACACTCTCACACATTCACTCATACACATACACTCACACTCACACACACACACACTCTCTCTCTCTCACACATACTCACACATACACACACTCACATACACACACACACTCAACTCACACACACACACATACTCACACACACACACACTCACACATGCTCACACACACACACACACACTCACACACAAACACACACACACACTCACACACACATACAGACACACACACACTCTCTCTGTCTCTTTCACACACACATACACGCACACACACACACATACACGCACACACACACACACACACTCTCACACACAGACACATACATACTCACACACAGTCACACACACTCACACACATACACACACACTCACACACACTTACACACTGACAACACACACACTGACACTCATGCACACTGACACGCATTCACTCTGACATGCTCACACTGACATACACGCTCACACTGACATACTTGCACTCTAACACAGACACACTGACACAAGCACACACACACAGACCCATGCAGTCACAGACATGCACGTAGACACACACATGCAGAGAGACACACACCACAAACACACACAGAGTGCTGCATGTGTCACAGTGAATATTACCCTTTATCCATGTGTGGGAGTGCACTTGACATGTCAATGTGTGGGTTTGCGTGTTTTATACGTGTCTGGGTGTGGGCGTTCATGTGAGAGTGCGTGTTGGAGGGAAATACATGTTCCAATAACAACACACTTTAATAAGCTAACCAGCTGGAAAGCACTTTGAACCATCCTGAACGTGTGTGTGTGTGTGTGTGTCTGTGTGTGTGTGTGTGGCTGTCTGTGTCTGTGTCTGTGAGTGTGTGTGTGTGTATGTGTGTGCGTGTGTGTGTGAGTGTGTGAGTGTGCGCGTGTGTGTATGTGTATGAGTGTGAGTGTGTGTGGGAGAGAGAGAGATGGAGAGAGAGTGTATGAGAAAATATGTGTGTGTGTATGCATGTGTGTGTGTGCGCGTGAGTGTGTGTGTCTGTGTGAGAGTGATTGTGTGTCAGTGTGAGTGTGTGTGAGAGAGAGACGGAGAGAGAGCATGTGTGTGAAAGAGTGTCTGTATGTGTGTGTGTGAGTGTGAGAGAGAGAGAGTGTGTGTGTGAGAGCATGTGTGTGAGAACACTTGTGATGCATGTATGTGTTCACATGAGCTCTGTGACACAGTTCCCACATCATGGAGCATACTTTCTATAGCCTTTGATAAGCCCATGTCCCGAACACTGGCTTTGACAGTGCAATCGCTCAGTATGCCGCATTCTTTTACCCCCTCCCCCAGCCCCATTCCCCAGAGCCCGTCACCCTCTCTGCGTGAGCCTGATAAACACCCTCTCCCATTGCAGACACAACTCTCTTGAAAGGGAAGGTTCGCCCTTTGGCATGGCCTGGGTAAAAAGTAAAACTCTCAGCAGCCCTGCTGCGCCATGTATGGGCGTGGGCATGCGTGTGTGTGGGCGTGCGCGTGTGTGGGCATGCACGTGTGTGGGCGTGCATGTGTGTGGGCGTGCGCGTCAATTTGTGTTGTGTTTGGGCCAGCGTACGTGTGTGTACACGTGCATGTGGTTGCCATGCCACTGTGTGGGTTTTGCGTGTGAACATTTCTCGTGTATGTGGAGGGGAGCGCATGTTTGTCACCTTACGGCTTTCCTGTTTTCTGATTCAGAGGCCAGTATGTGGTCTATGAGACCGAGAATAAAGTAGTGGATCGTGAGTGGAAACGTTACGACTTTCACTACGACAACGTCATCTGGGCCCTGTTGACACTGTTCACTGTCTCCACAGGAGAGGGCTGGCCTCAGTAAGTACAAACTGACTAGGGTACATAGAGAACGCACCTTTGTCAGCAGCTCAATGACTGTCTGACAGACCCTGTCAAACCATTTTGTATAGCTCCATCGCAGGGACACATGGGCCGGACGAGACCTGGAGTCACGGGGACTCAGGTGATCAACCTGTGACACTAGCCAGATGGCAGAGGAAGTTATCGGGGTTCAGAGACATCAGTGCACCCTCAGGAAGGGGGATTGAGAGCAAAGGGCTGTGGTGTCATTATTAAAATGCTGCCGGTTCCTGGTCAATGTCAGGCAGCTGGGGAAATCTGGAATTCCGTTCCCAAAGAGCCGGGAATCACGGTGTCACTTAGAGCTTGGTCAGATTAGGGACCGACATAACGGACACCCACAAAGATCAGAGTACTCATCAACAATTCCAATGTTTTATCAGCCTCACCTACTTGCTGGAAAGGAATAGAGAGACACGAGTCAGTGTACAGGTATCTCCCTGAGGGAGAGAAAGGGGACAGAGAGACACCAGCCAGTGTACTGGTATCTCCCTGAGAGAGAGATAGGGGACTGAGAGACACCAGCCAGTGTACAGATATCTCCCTGAGCAAGAGAGGGGACTGAGAGACACCAGTCAATGTACAGATATCTCCCTGAGAGAGAGTGAGAGATGGAGCTAAGAGACATAAGTAAGTGCACTCATCTCTCTGAGAGAGGGGGGACTGAGAGAGACCAGTCAGTTTGCATCTTGCTCATTGATTTTGGGCATACAGAATATAGTTTGTGATGATGGTATTAATGTGTTAACCTATGTTGCAGGGTCCTGCAGCATTCAGTGGATGTGACGGAAGTAGACCAAGGACCCATTCCGGGGAACAGAATGGAAATGTCCATCTTCTACATTGTCTATTTCGTTGTCTTCCCCTTCTTCTTCGTCAATATCTTTGTGGCGTTGATCATCATCACTTTCCAGGAGCAGGGAGACAAGATGCTGGAGGAGAGCAGTCTGGAGAAAAATGAGGTGTATTCTCTCTCTTTTTTTAACTGTCTGTCTCACACACTCCCTCTCTTTTGTCCTGTTTCCCTTTCTCCCATTCTGACCCCTCCAACAGTAATTCCCCCTGGATTGCTAACTCTCACCTTTACAATTTCTTTGACCCCTTGCACTTTCAACTTACACTCCCTCATAATTCTCACAGAAGGTACAAAAGTTTGAAAACACATACCAACAGACTTAATAACAGTTTCTTCCCCGTTGTTATCAAACTTATGAACAGACCTGTTGTATATCAGAGTTGATCTTTCTCTGCACCTTCTCTGTAGCTGTGACACTATATTCTGCAATCTGTTCTATAACCCAGATGTACTTATATAAGGTATGAATTGCCTGGAAAACACGTAAAGCAGTACTTTCACTGTATCTCGATACATGTGACAATAATAAATCAAATCAAATCAATCTCCTGCCTTTCACTTGTCCAACAAGAGATCCAGGAATAGGAGTGATCCAGATGCATCGTGTGGAAAGATCTTTTCAATCTCTATGCCCCTGTTTTTACTGTCTCTGCTTTATCCCCAGAGAGCCTGCATCGAGTTTGCCATCAGTGCCAAACCCTTGACAAGATACATGCCACAGAACAGACAGACCTTCCAGTACAGAGTCTGGCACTTCGTGGTGTCCCCTTCCTTCGAGTACACCATCTTGACGATGATAGCACTAAACACCGTTGTCCTCATGATGAAGGTAGGCTTCACAATATGGAAGTCTGGGTGACACAGCGTCACACTGGCTGACATCTCAGAATGTCCCAGACATGGAGAAATGATGGCTACTGCTAAGTAACAGGGTTATTCGGTAATTTATGGTAAACTGAAAAACACAGTTTAAACCAGACCAGAACTGACAATGTTAAGTCACGTTGAGTTACACTCTCTAAACTGGGTAGCACTTGTTCACAAATGGCGAAATAATCTGTAATACTTGTATTGCAGGTTTTAATTGGGAAATCCTGTCTCTCCGCGGGTAATGATGTCTCTCTCTCTCTCCCTCCCTTTCTTTCTCTCCTCCCCTTCCTCTCTCTGGGTAATACTGTCTCTCTCCATCTCTCTGGGTAATGCTGTTCCTCTCTCTCTCTGGGTAATGCTCCCTCACTCTGTCATGCTCTTTCTCTCTCTCTCTCTGGCTACTGCTGTCTCTGTGCGTTTGCTCTCTTTCTGTCTCGCTCTGCGTAATGCCGTCACTCTCCCTCTGTCTGGGTAATGCTGTCTCCCTCTCTAGCTTTCTCACTCTCTCTGTCTCTGGGTAATGCTTACTTACTCTCTCTCTCACTCTCTCTCTCTCTCTATCTCTCTGGGTAATGCTGTCTCTCTCTCTCTCTCTATCTCTCTCTCTGTGTCATGCTGTTCCTCTGTGTCTGGGTGATCCTACCTCTTTCTCTCTCTCTCCCACTGTGCAATGCTATCTCTTTCTCTCTCTCTCTCTTTCTCTGTCTCCTTGGGTAATGCTGTCACTCTCTCTGTGTGTAATGCTGTACCTCTCTCTCTCTGGCTATGCTTTCTCTCTGGGTAATGTCTCTTGCTGTCTCTCTCTTGATGATGCTGGCTCTAACTGCGTAATGCTGCTTATCGCCAGGTATTCCAGATCTAACTGTGCAGTTTGGAGATCGCTTGCTTACGCTGGATTTTCTCCCAGCAAATCAGGCTGTCACTGCTGAATTAATTCTTACTTTCACAGCGCTACAGTTCCCTCCAATGCACCACCAAGCTTTCTCTCTTGCCTTGCCCATCCTGATCTGACCCTGATTTGTGCTGTCAGAATAGTGTGCATTGTTTGGGTTCTGGTCGACGCACACTCACTGTTCTAGGCTGTTTTTGAGTGGATGGAGTTCAGCCTGATGTTCTTGATTGACTACTTTCTGTATTGGTCTGAGTGATGTGAGGTCACTGCTCCAAGAGAGGGTCCATTCACTGTGTGTGTTCTCACTGCAGCATCATTCCCCACCACCGGGCTTCGTTACTGTCCTGAAATTTATGAACATCGCCTTCACCATCAGCTTCACACTTGAGTGTGTCCTCAAAATCATTGCCTTCGGATTCCTGGTGAGCAAATAGCAAGATAACCGCTTTGAGGAGAACAATATCGCGAGTTAAACACAGTGGGTGAGGTTCCATGGAGTGTGCAATCAAACATACATGGTCCCTCAGCAACGGGGTTCGGGATCTGTATGGGATCGTGTGGAATCTTTCAGGGCTGCTTGCAGCAAAGGGACAACAGAGGGTCAGGAAGTGGAGCGAGCTGTACTCTGTACCTAACCCTGTGCTGTCCCTGAGCTGGGAGTGTTTGATGGGGGACAGCCAGAGGCAGCTTTACTCTGTATCTAACCCCGTGCTATCCCTGTCCTGGGAATGTTTGATGGGGGACAGTGCAGAGGGAGCTTTACTCTGTATCTAATCCCGTGCTGCCCCTGTCCTGGGAGCGTTTGATGGGGGACAGCCAGAGGCAGCTTTATTCTGTACCTAACCCTGTGCTGTCCCTGCCCTGGGAGTGTTTGATGGGGGACAGTGCAGAGGGAGCTTTACTCTGTATCTAACCGTGTGCTGTCCCTGTCCCTAGGAGTGTTTGATGGGGGGGGGGACACTGTACAGGCAGCTTTACTCTGTATCTAACCCCGTGCTGTCCCTGCCCTGGGAGTGTTTGATGGGGGACAGTGCAGAGGCAGCTTTACTCTGTATCTAACCCCATGCTGTCCCTGTCCTGGGAGTGTTTGATGGGGTACAGTGCAGAGGGAGCTTTATTCTGTATCTAACCCCGTGCTGTCCCTGTCCTGGGAGTGTTCAGTGCACCAGATGGGAAAGTATAGCTGAACCCTGTGTAGAGAGACAATAATGGGGTGGTACACGTGATCGATCTGCAGTGTGAGTGACACAAGGGGTTCAGGCTCGGACTGTCCCAGCCACCTGTCCATGTGAAGGTGGAGCGAAGCTGTCGTTCCTGTTTGTTGATCTGAGTGACTCCTTGCTTGCTGTCCTGACGCCTTGTGTTCATTCCATTCCCCCAGAATTACTTCCGAGATTCCTGGAACGTATTTGACTTTGTGACGGTGGTGGGCAGCATCAGTGAGATCATCGTTAACGAGTGCAAAGTACGTTCTATTAATCCCATCCAGGTTTGAGAAGGAAAGGGAGGGAGTTGGGGGTTTGGGGGGAGAGAGAGAGAGATAGTGAGAGAGATAGAGAGAGGGAAGAGAGAGAGTGAGTGAGGGGAGGGGAAGTGAGAGAGGGGAGGTGGGGAGAGTCTGGGGGAGGGTTGAGGGGCGGAAACACCAGAGAGACGGGAGAGGAGAGAGAGAGAGGGACGAGGTAGAGAAAGAGAGAGAGGGGATAGAGGAGAGAGGAGGGGAGGGGGGGAGACAGAGGAGGGAGAGGTATAGCGAGAGGGGAGGTAGGAGAGGAGAGGGACAGGAGAAAGAGGGAAGAGAGACAGGGGAGGGCGGTAGAGAGAAGGCTAAGAGGAGATAGAACAGGAAGGGGCGGAGAGACAGGAGCTGAGAGAAAGGAGGAAGGGGGAGAGAGTGAGAGTGTGGGAAGAGAGAGAGAGAGAGCGATGAGATAGAGAGAGGAATTAATGGAGAGACAGGGGAGAGAAAGAGAAGTATGGGAAGAGAGACGGAGAGCAAAAAAGAAAGAGAGAGGGATCAGGGCAAATAGAGGGGGAAAGAGAGAGGGAGGGACACCACAATTTGGTGAACAGTGTGTGAGAAGATGTAAGACACTGATAGGATGGGCATGTCACTGAAGGTCTAATGGGGCACAGAGAGGGCTTTGGGGCACTGAGCGTGCAGTGAGACAGTTGTGATCATGGCAATCCAGATGGTGAAAGAGTAGCCTCTGATCTAACGTTCCAATCTCTGTGCAGCTGAAGTTTGTGAACCTGAGCTTCCTGAAACTGTTCCGTGCTGCTCGACTGATCAAGCTGCTGCGCCAGGGCTACACCATTCGGATTCTCCTCTGGACCTTTGTGCAGTCCTTCAAGGTAAACAGCACAGCCAGACATGGAAACAGCAATCAGAGTGAGGCTAGGGACGCCACTGCCCAGGTCCTGTTACACCGGCACCTTACTGTCCAGGGAGCAGTACGGTAATGGTAGAGTATCGGTGCTGTAGTGGTGGAGATTCAATGCACTGGTGCAGGAGTATCAGTGCTCTGCTGATGGAGTATCAATGCTCTGGCAGTGGAGTATCATTGCTCTGTTGATGGAGTATCAGTGCTCTGGTGGTGGAGTATTAATGATCTAGTGCCGGAGTATCAGTGCTCTGTCGATGGAGTATCAATGCTCTGGCGGTGGAGTATCAATGCTCTGTTGATGAGCATAAATGCTGTGGTGCTGGTGTGTTTTGAAAGCAGATTTGGTCTTTCCTGTTTATGTCTGCCATGCTGTAATGAACATGATGAAACGTTCGTGTTGAGTCCATGTTCTCTTCCACAGGCCCTCCCATATGTCTGCCTGCTGATTGCCATGTTGTTCTTCATCTACGCCATCATTGGGATGCAGGTATGAGCCTTGAGTACAGCGAAAGGGTTTGCATGCGAACCGAAGACTGTGAGTTACACTGAGCCAGTGTTCTGCGTGCTGACTAACAGAACTGTCTCAATCTCTTCCTGGAATTCCCACAGCTCTTTGGAAACATCGGCCTGGATGACAGTACCCCCATTAACCGACACAACAACTTCCACACTTTCTTCAATGCTTTGATGCTGTTGTTCAGGTGCGTTACCCTCCTTTAGTCAGGGAAAGTTGCGTAGAGCTGGTTGGATGCTTTGAAATAGGTGGTTACATTGTTCCAAGAAGCCCCGCTAATAGTGTCTTTTCTGCACTGGGATGCTCCTCTGCCAGCAATCATTCTCTGAGAGGTTTGTCCACTAGACAAAACAAACCATCCATCACAGAATTAAAGTCTCATTATGCAGGCCATTGCAAACATTGGTGCTATTGCTTGGTGCCAATCTCCATGTTCCTGCCCTCCATTTCTAACCAAATACATATTGTTATGGACCAAACCAAACCCCCTTAAACTATATCAAGGAGATATCCTAGACCCTAACTTTTTTATTTCATTTGAAGGCAAGTGTAAGGCACTGTTTTTTCAATTGGTCCATGACTAGGCTTTAAGCAAAACACACTCTATTCTTACAACAGTTAAAATACAAACAGAAAAATGAGATTTGGCACAACTTTAACTCTACTGAAATATGTAATAAAATAATATGTTAATTAACTACTAATCATCAACTGTTCCAGTATAGCACCCTATAAACACACCCTTGGCAAAGGCAAATTCAGCAAAATTGATTTTCCTCAAGATCTATAACCAGTCCAAGAGAAATGAACAGAGAGAGAATGCCAGCATTTTGCTGCAGCAGAGACAGAGCTGTATCTATCAGTTTCAAGCCCCAAAAACTGAAAGCCAAACTAAAACCCTGGGTCTGTGTGAGCCTGACTCCACCCATTCATGCTTCTTTTGTCTAATTTAAAGAAAAACACTCAGAGAGCTCAAAGCTGTTTACCACTGGTTCTGAAGCAGACATTCTGGTGCTACTCTGGCAACACCTCTCTGCAAGAGAAACAGCACAGAACAAATCCCTCTTAAAGGCAAATTACTGTCACACCATCCAAACGTCCTCTTGAATGCCTCAATCAAAACTGTCTCTACCTTCCAAGCAGCGCATTCCATTCCACGCTGACCTAGGACATGTCGCACTTTCATTAACTTGTTGTTAAGAAAAAAATAGGTATTTAGTATTAGAAAAAACCCAAATTTTTCAGTTAGCCGTGTCAGTCATGGCTCGGTGGTATGTTTCAAACAAGTTGGAAGAGTGTGTCCAAAACAGGGCCACCCTGTTCCCAAGCTGTCCCAACGTGTGTCAAATCCAATTAAATTTTCAGAATGGCCTGTTTTCTTGACTGATCGGTATTCAGGACAAAAACAATTCACAACAGGTTTCATTTGTATCAGAAAAAGACTCTAGTTAAGGTAACACACTTAACTTTAACAAGAGCAGAGAAAAGATCCTGTATCTCAACTACTACTACATATCCTGAACTACACCCCACTTCAGAATCCCAAATACTTATACACACACACACAGACAAACACACAGACACGCACACACTTACTTTCTGTCTCTCCCTGTCTCTCTCTCTTTCTCTCTCTCTGTCTGTCTCTCTTTCTGTCTTTCTCTCACTCTCTCACACACAATCACGATGAAAACAGACAAAACACAGAGTTTGGCAGATATTATGGGTGGTCAAAGGATAGAGACAGTGTAAACAAAATCCTGAAGATCAAAAGTTCAGATGACTAGGATGGGGTTAACTTAATTCTCTCAATTCCTTTGGATTTCGTTTAGCACAAATCACATGCAATGTCTGTAAAACGATGGCCATTCTTCACTTCCTTTTCAGCATTCTGGGTTTTTCTGTCTTTTCCCTACGTTGGGCTGGGGTGGAGAGGGTAGAGAGAGAGAGATGGATGCTTTCAGTTTGTAGGTTCTGGATGTTTTCCACTGCCCTTGCACCTGCATCTTTCATTGAGTTGCAGTTTATTCATTCATTCATTGGCGGTCCCTGGCAGATGGAGGTGACTCTCTTCCACTGTCAGGGTGAGTGCGTTGGTAGCTGTACAGACCGATGTGGCTACCGCAGGACACTGGGGGCAGGTGGTGGTCACGGGAAAGGTGTGGGTGAGGCAATGCGCTCGACGCCTTCCCGGATTCTCCGGGACTTTGGTCGGTCTCGGGCCAGCGATTCCCAGGTGCCTGTGGGGAATGCCGCACTTCGCCAGTGAGGCCTTGAGGGGATCACCGAAGCGTTTCCTCCGTCTGCCCAGAGCCCACCTGCCGCTTCAGAGCTGGGAGTAGAGCTCGGCGAGTCTCGGGTCGGTCATGTGGACGGTGTGCCCAGCCCATCGTAGCCTATCAAAGGTGGTCAGTGCCTCAATGCTGGGAATGTTGACCTGTTCGAGGGCACTGGTGGTGGTGGTGCGTCTTTCTTCCCAGTGGATACGCTGAATCTTGTGCGGGCAGTGTTGGTGGTACTGCTCCAGCACCTTGAGGAACCTGCTGTAGACAGTTTTTTTTTATGATGAGAGGGCTGTCAAGAGGCAGAACATCTTTACTCAAAGGCCTCTCGACTCCCTTTACCATTTGCAGTCCCAAAGAGGAAAGCCACGTGGTGTTTTACAGTCCCAGCCCTTGCCTCTGACTCACAAGGTTTCTGGGTTCACGCCCCACTCCTCAAAGTGAGCAAAGACACCGAACGTTCGGTCCAGAGCAGTGGTGAGGAATTGCAGCAGGGTCAGAGGTGCCGTCGTTTGGCTGAGACATTAGGCTGAGCCTTCATCTGCCCCCTCAGGTGGATGTAAGAAAGATCCTGCACTCAGCGATTGAAAAAGAGCAGGGAAGTTATCCCTAGGGTTCCTGACCAATTCTATCCCTCAATCAACATCACAAATTCAGGTTATCTAATTGCTAACACCTATTGTTTGTGGCAACTTGCTGTGCAGAAAGTGGCTGCAACATTTCCTCCAGTCACAAAGCTTTTGAAGTGTTTAAGTACTTCAAAAGTATTTAATCGGCTGGAAAGCATAATGGCACTGGTGATAAAAAGCAGGAAGTAAACACGAGTCTTTTTAATGCACTAACAACTTTCTGTCCAGATCTGTTCAGTGCTGAAATAAGGAGTTGCTTGTGTTGTTGGATTGTAGTGAAACTCCAGCTTATTAAGGAAGGAAACCTGCCCTACCTACCGGGTGCCTCGAGTCTCGTATCAACATAGCTGAGTCTTAACTGCCCTCTGACGTGTTCCGAAAGCCATTCTGTTGTGTTCAGTTGCAACACAGAGTAGCTTTCAGACACTAAGGCATTCCAGAAATGAATGGAAATGAATAAGACTGAACTCAAGCTAATGAGCAAAGGTACATCTATCCACACTCATCAAGATCAGTGTCATTCCTCATACTCTGCAAAACCATTCTTCGCGGTAAAAGCTAAAATACTGAAAAGATGCGTCTGTGCGGAGAGTGGTTTGCGAGCTCAAAAACGTTAGAGCAGATTTCCAGAATCTGCAAAACTTTCTCCTTGGTGCGGGCATCAGCATTTATTACCCGTCCCTAGTGGCCCTGGTGAAGTTGGTGGTGAGCTACCTTCTTGAACTGCTACAGGCCATGTCCTGTAGGTAGACCCACAATGCCCTTAGGGAGGGAATTCCAGCATTTTGACCCAGCGACAGTGAAGGAACGGCGATATATTTCCAAGTCAGGATTGTGAGTGGCCTGGAGGGGAAATTGCAGGGAATGGTGTTCCCAAGTATCTGCTGCCCTTGTCATTCTAAATAGAAGTGGTTGTGGGTTTGGAAGGTGCTGTCTAAGGAGCCTTGGTAAATTTATAGATCATAGAATCCCTACAGTGTGGGAACAGGCCCTTTGGCCCAACAAGTCCACACCGACCCTCAGAGCATCCCACCCAGACCCATCCCCCTATAACCCACCTAATCTACACACCCCTGAACTCTACAGGCAATTTAGCACAGCCAGTCCACCTAACCTACACATCTTTGGACTGTGGGAGGAACCCCACGCAGAGAATGTGTAAACTCCACACTGACAGTCAGCCAAGGGTGGAATCGAACCCGGGTCCCTGGCGCTGTGAGGCAGCAGTGCTAACCATTGAGCCACCATGCCGCCCAGTGCATCTTGCAAATGGAACAAGCTACTGCCACTCAGGTGATGGGAATAAAAGTTGAATGTGGTGGATGTGGAGCCAATCAAACGGGCTACTCTGTCCTGGTTAATGCCAAGTTTCTTGAGTGTTGTTGGGGCTACACCCATCCAGGCAACTGGGGAGTATTCCATCACACTCTTGACATGTGCCTTGTAGATGGAGAACTGGCTTTGGGGAGTCAGGAAGTGAGTTACTCACCGCAGAATTCCTAGCCTCTCACCTTGCTTGTGTAATTTATATGGCGAGTCCAGTTTTGTTTCTGGTCAATGGAAATCCTGGGATGTTGATAGTGTGGGATTCTGTGATGGTAACACCATTGAATGTTAAGGGGCGATGGTTAGATTGTCTCTTATTGGTGATGGTCATAGCCTGGCATTTGTGTGGCACGAATGTTACTTGCCACTTGTCAGCCCAAGCCTGGATATTGTCCAGGCCTAGTTGCATTTGAACATGGACTGCTTCAGTATCTGAGGAGTTGCGAATGGTGCTGAACATTGTGTAATCATCAGCGAACATCCCCATTTCTGACCTTATGATGGAGGGAAGATGGTCGAGCCTAGGATAGTACCCTGAGGAACTCCTGCAGAGCTTTCGGGAGCTGAGATGACTGACAACCACACCCATCTTCCCATGTGCCTGGTATGACTCCAAGCAGCGGCGAGTTTGCTCCCAGTACCCATTGATTCCAGTCTGTCCTCACCTCTCGTCTTTTGTCCATGTTTAGAACAATACTCAGGAATTGAGTGGTGCTAGTGGAACCTGAACTGAGCAACAGTGAAAACTTACTCAAATACAGCTTCATAACACTGTTGATGACATCTTCCTTCGCTTTACTCAAGAATGGACTGACGGGGCAGTAATTGGCTGGGTTGGATTTGTCCTGCTTTTTGTGTACAGGATTGGGCAAATTTCCACATTGTTGGGTAGATACCAGTGTTGAGCTATACTGGAAGAGCTTGACTAGGAAAGCAGCAAGTTTTGAACCACA